CTCTCTCCAGCCAGGGCTGCTGATGCCTCTGCCCCACAGCTGGAGCCTCTCCCTGCCACGCTGGGCCTGGCCGCTCCCAGCCTGCCAGCCCTGCAGGAGCTGAGCGTTCCTTCTGCATCACCGCCGCAGTCCAGCAGGTGGCAGCGCGCTTTGTGCTCAGCAAGCCGTTGATGGGGCGCGAGATCCAAGCCGGCCTTGTTTTCTCTCCCTGCCAAAATGCACTGGGGTGTGGAGTTAGCTACAGGAGAATGGGTCCCAGCGAGCCCAGGAGCGGCCTGGGAGGAGCCGAGCAGGCCTGTGGGGGTGCATCCAGCAGCCGCTTGTGTGGCAGCCCGGGTCAGAACTGCGCGTCTGATTCCGGGTGGCAGAATTCACAACTGACCCAATGTTTCGGTTTTGTGATTTTTTTTTTTTAAATGGGAACATTTATGGAAAAATGTCCCTGACACTTCCCATCCACCCGAACGCCCCTCAGCTCAGATTGAATATTTTAAATTTCCCTTTAGGATATAAACACGGGATTGAAATCCACCGGGGAAAGGAAGCGAATGGGGATTTTTATATTGAATTTTTCATGACCTCCAAACCTTAAATACAAAACAAGTTGCTTGCACTTCTCCCTGTGTTTTGAGCAATTGCTTGCCACCCACCCTGCAGGCCAGTGGAGAGAGTTTGGAGTCTGTGAGTTCTTTATTACAAATAGCCTGTAGCTATAGAGCCACCCCAGCATGGTGTGCTGGTGGGCACAGCCCTGGCAGGCTTAGGAACCCTCTGCTCTCCAAAACTTCCTCTTACTGGCAAGTTCTGATTGTTATGTGGAAGGTCTCAGCAAGATCTTGCTTCTGGCTTGGTATGGTGAGGGGATTCAGCCTGGTAGAGCAATGTGCCTGGAGCTAGCCGGATACTTCTGCTCCTTGCTACATTACTGACAGCATGAGGGCAAGGGCTGGCTCTTCGTGGTGCGGCTGTGCAGAGCTCAGCAACCAAGAGCTCCCGTCGTGCCAGTGCTACTTACTAACGGCAGTGCAGGGCGATCTTGCTTCTGGCTTGGTATGGTGAGGGGATTCAGCCTGGTAGAGCAATGTGCCTGGAGCTAGCCGGATACTTCTGCTCCTTGCTACATTACTGACAGCATGAGGGCAAGGGCTGGCTCTTCGTGGTGCGGCTGTGCAGAGCTCAGCAACCAAGAGCTCCCGTCGTGCCAGTGCTACTTACTAACGGCAGTGCAGGGCAGATGCTTTCTTCACCTTTCGTGGCAAGGTCTAGGGATGTCCGCGTGTAGATGACGGTGCAATTAATCGATAAGCCTGGGCTTATCAGTTCATCCTGTCAACTACACACATTCCCCCCTTTGCTGCCTCTGTATCAGAGGCAGCAAGGCCGGGGAAGGTAGGAGCCGGTGCCTGTGAGGCAGCAGCACAGCGGGAGTTGGTACACACAGGAAGCCAGCTTTCACACCAGCTTTCCCCGTGTATTAGCTCATGCGGAGTTGTCTGCTCCCCACGCTGCTGCCTCTCTATCAGAGGCAGCAGCATGGGAAGAGGAGGGGAGCAGTTAGGAGCCAGTACAGTGGGGAGCTGGCTTTTAAGCTGGGTCTCCCTGCATGCTGGCTTTGCAGAGCCTCCTGCTCCCCCTTTGCAGCCTCTCACAGGGGCAGGGAAGGCTGCTCTGTGGGACACCAGCACAGCCTCCAAGCACAGGGAGCTCGAGCCCCTCGCGGACAGGGGCTGCTGCTGCACAGGGCGGAAGGCAGGAGCCGATCTGCACAAGGAGCCGGTTTTTAATCCAGCTCCCCTTGCAGACCAGCTCCCACCTGGCACCTCATGCAGCAGTGTGGGGTGGCAGGGGGCTCCCCGGGAGTGGGACTAGGAGCTGACTGGCTGCCAGGCCCCCTCCAGGGACTATCGAATAGTCGTGTAACCGCTACAATTTGATGCAGTTACACGACTATTCAAGTACACACACATCCCTAGGAAGGTCTCCCCTTCGGCCTGTGCCCCGTGCTGCTAACCTCCGTGCCTGTAACATGCGAGCCGAGGACGGGATTGGTGAGGGTTAATTGCTAAGATGCTGAGGAACCGGCTTTACTGCCCAGCGTTACTCCTGGGCTGGGGACCCTGCCCGTCCCCCTTCACAGCCTCGGAGGGGCACGATGCTGGAGAACGTTTCCGTGCTGGGCCAGGAGCCCTTGCTCAGCCTGGCCTGCAACGACAGCTGGCCTGGCTCCAGCCCTGGGGACCCACGATCCCGCTGCTCCATTGGAGGAGCAGATTTCCTCAAAGCGTTAAGTCTCCCTCCCAAGCCTGCTCCCCTTGGCCCAGGATGCCCCTCCCCCTCTGCCTGCCAGCTCAGCTGTCGTTCCCTTCTGATGTATTGATGACATCCCGAGGGTCTATTTTCAGTCCCCCTCAGCATACAAAGGTCAGCATGGCTGGGCCTGGCATGCTTACGCTGGCTTCCTCCCTTGCCCACCCACAGAGCCTGGCCAGGGTGGGAAAGGGGCCTCCAGGCATGTTCTTTCCAAGTTGTCACCGGGCTGGAATGCAGCAGGAACGTGGCCAGGACGGGTTCAGCTGCAGCCCAATGCGACAGCAACAGCGCAGCTGAAAATAACCAAAGAGCGATACCTTTCACGGTGCTCAGGAGCACCGTGTCCCCATTAGGCAGAGGGGGAAACTGAGGCACAGAGCAGGTCCCAGCTCCCACAGCACAGCAAGGTCAACACAGTGCTCCTGGTCCCCAGCCTCCTGCTCAAAAGCAATGTTGGGTTCTGTGCCCAGCTGTTCGAAGCAAGCCCTGGTGGTAGGAGGGGGTTCAGGGAAGCGGGTATCCATTCCCGGCTTTGACAGCTGGAATCTGGCATGCTGAGTTGACTCCCTGTCAGCACTAGATTGTTGTTTCTTAAAGGGCCAGGAAGGCAGCTCCTTTCGTGGGCTGCATGTCTGCGGTATGCTAGAGACACACAATTCACGTGCCAGCCTAGCCTAGCTAGGAGGAGGGTGGGTCACATCGGTCAATGGTGGAGGTAAGGATGTTAACATGCGGCTAATCAGCTAACCGAGTAGTCGATGGAATTTCGACTGACAGAGGCAGCAAGGGGGAGGGACTGACTAGTCGAGTATTTACTCGACGAGCTGCTTACATCCTTACCCTGAGGGGAGGGAGTTCCTGTCCGGGCCCAGCAGTGTGTTCTCTGCTGGTGGGTTCAGTGGGCCTGTGGGTCACACAACCCACCCACATGGGAGCATGCCCCCACCGTCCCTGGGGTGCAGGATGCTCCTCCCACGCCAAGATAGGCCTGGAGGTGACCAGCTCCCCAGAGCTCGTCGGACATTCCCCAAGAACACTGCGTGGCCACGCTCCCTGGTGCTGTTCCGCTCCCGCCCACCGACAGCAGTGAGTCCCCTGCTACGTTTCAAACTTCCTTGGGGGGGTCTCATTTTAGCCGTCTCAGCAGGGCCTGTGGCGGCTGTTCTGGCTCCCGGATCAGCGGTTCTCTCTCCGCTGGGCCTCCCATCGCAGCGATGGCTGTGGCATCTGCCCAGATCAAATGGCCCATCGTTCCTTACAGCGGGGGCGGGGGCCGCTGACCCACAGAAAAATCAGTGGGGGGCTCAAAAAACCCTCCCCTCAACAAATCCTCACTGACGTGAGGAGACAGACGCTCCCCACATTCCCCTCGCACAGCAGAGTCCAGGGGAGCCCAGGCTAGTAGATTTTGTGTGCTCCAGCCCCGGGGGGGGGGGCAGCAGAAGAGCTGGAGCACCAGCACAGGCAACCTCCCCAATGCTCGGGCAGAGCCTTGAGCCTCGGAAGCTGGATCCAGACAAGCCAGGGGCCAGATGTGGCCTCTGGGCCTGAGGTTCCCTCTCCGGGGGGGGGGAGAGGGGGGTGGTGGGTAGGGGCTGAAGCACCTGTGTGGGCTCTCCAACGCTGGTGGGCCGCATTCTCCCCCGGGTCTTAGGTTCCCTACCCCTGCCTTACAGCATTGCGTGGAGGGAGAGAGTGTGGTCAGGGATTCAGGGGGACCCTGTAGGCCGAGTACGGAGCAGGATTGTCTCCCCCGATGCTACTGTTCTTCGTTCTCTGTCCCCACCGCCCAGCAAGCAACAGCTGTGGGGAAGGAACCACAGGATTTGATTAGATGCCAGGTGGGGTAGGAAACCTCTTCTACTGCACCGAGTTCTCTTGGTAAGAGACAAGCTCGGAGCTTGCACAGAGCTCTGCTTCAGGCCTGGGAAAGGACCTGGGAGCCTCCCGGCTCAACAGAAGCTGGACCAGATGGCTCAGCATCAGGGTTCACACCCGTTCTAAGAAGTCAGCTGCAGTGAAGTAGCCTGTTAACCCCACTGCAGCCAGGGGGCAAAGCTGTGAATGTTTAGACCTTTGCGCTGCCCCATGCATTGCCTCAGCCCAGGAGTGCTGCCTCTGCATGGGACTGCAAAGGACAAGTGCATTACGGCAGCAACCACAGGCCCGAGCTGCAGTCCAGGCTCTGTTCTGCCAAGTGCTGCACAGGCAGAGAATGTAAATAGACAACACACCAGGGCTGAGCGATAGCTGGGGAAGTGGGGCACAGAGCGGCTGGTGACTTGCCCTGGGTCACACAGGGAGTCAAGGGCAGAGGAGGGACCTGAACCTCAGGCCCCTCCTCTGTGCCTCTGAGAAGTCCTGTTAGATTTGTCCCAAGAGAGGACAGGTCAGGTATGGAGGCTGGGACGTGAGGTTACAAATTCGCACGAGCCTTGTCTATACTTACCTGAAAGGTCAAATTAAGATATGCAACTCCAGCTACGTTAATTGTGAAGCTGAAGTCCACATACCTTACTTCAACTTTTGGTGCCATCTCCACGGTGGGAAGTCAACGGGAGAAGTACCAGTGTCGACCGGAGCACCCTCAGCGTTCGATTTAGTGGGTCTTTATTAGACCCACTAAATCAAACTGAAAAATCAACTGCCACAGCACCGATCTTCCCTGGTGTAAAGACATGGCCATAAAGAAATTAGAGGCCTTGATTTTGCACCCTGCCACCAGTCCAGCCCTGGGGCTGATGGATCCTGCAGAAGGAAGGAAAACGATCTCATCTACTGGTGGAAACCCCCCTAGGCAATGCTGGAAAGCCCCAGATTTTGCTTCCGCTTGTAAACATCAGGGATCAGTCAGATGCCTCAGTCTCAGAGGGACCCTGCGAAGTGAAGAGAGGGAAACAGCCCTTGTATTGGTTCCAGAGGGCAGAGCAGCATCTGGTCAGTGCAGGATTCACCATCAAACCAGGGTGCTTCGATCTTCTCCCACAACTTGTCCTCTGCTTTTGCACAAGACCAGGCCACAAGTCCCCTGTGTGTTCACTTGTCACTAGGAAGGGCTCAGCTGCTCTGGCCATCCAGGGAAGGGGACAGGTGGTGCTTGGGTAGCTGGCTGCGATGCAGTTAGATGGCTCCTGCAATATCTTTCCAAAGCAGGCTGGGCAGCATAGCCAGGGGGTGTCACTGCAGCCGGTGCCAGACATTTCCTTGGCTGAGTATTGAGCCCTACATGTACATAGCTGGGGTTTTACTGGCGAAATTCTAAGCCCTGATGTTCAGCTGGCGAATAAATGGAACAGGTGTCAGCGCCAAGCAAAACTCCCTGCAGTTTTACATGGAACAACAGCCGGCCTGCACAGAGAGCAGGCCGCAGGGTGTGTGCTCCTGAAAGATTGCAGACACCAGCTGGATTCCAGCTACAAATCAGCATCAGCTGAGCTGTGCTGGGCCTTTGTTTTGTTATTTGCCATGGGATCCTCGCAGCTGCCCTTGACCATGAAAAAGGAAAAAACATTCAGCTCCTTTCCTGCTAGGTGCCCTGTACACGTAAGGAGGAATCCGGCCTCACACCGTTCCCCTTTGAAGAAGGCAAGTTATGTTTAGCCCCATTGGACAGATGAGAAACCTGAGGCACAAAGACATTAAGGCTATGTCCACAGTGCAGGCTTCTTGCGCAATAACTTTTTCCGCAAGCATTCTTGTGCGAAAGTTCTTGCACAAGAGCACGTTCACACTGCCACGTGCTTTTGGGCAGGAGATGTGCTTTTGCGCAAGAGCGTCCATGGCAGTGTGGACGCTCTCTTGCGCAAGAAAGCTCTGATGGCCATTTTTAGTCACACTTGCCTGTCCACACGTCTTTTTGCGTAAGAGCTCTTGTGCAAAAAGGCTTATTCCTTGTGGGGAGAGGAATAACTCTTGCACAAAAAGCCCTCTCTTCTGACGATCTACTGTAACCTTTCTTGCACAAGAACGGGTTTGTAGTGTGGATGCTCCACAAGTTTTTGCACAAGAACGGCTGTTCTTGCGCAAGAAGCCTGCAGGGTAGACATAGAGTCTAAGAGTCTTGCCCAGCCCCAGAAGGTGAGTCAGTGGCAGAATCTCAAACCCAGCCCTATGCTCTGATTTCTAGACCATACAGACGCCAGGCAGGCCATCAAGGAAAGAATCACTGTAAATCAGGTGTGTGACCAGGAGCAGCTCTGGGCAGCATCTTTCCAGGTACAAGGTTGATAGAGAAAGAAATCACCACTTGGGCTTCTGCTTCTGTGGAGTCCTCATTCTAGAGCAGCTTTCTGACCCAGACCATCCCCCACTGGAAGCAGGTCTAGGAAGGAAGGCAACTCCCTGCTGTTTTTCCCTGGAAGCTTTGGAGTCCTACATATTGTAAGAGCAGCCCTGGGTAATTTCAAAGGTCAGTGAAAAACAATCCAGACTCCTCTGGCTTGGGGATTTGTGAGCAAGGTGGCTCTTTGCTTAACTGCTTTTGAAACCAAGTGCTTTTCTGAAAGAAAGCCAGGGGTTCCAACCCCTTGTGCTGCTCCACCACCTTCCAGTCCCTGCAGAAAGCAATGCCCTTCTCCCCCCAAAGCCAAACCTCCTGGCAGCCATAGGGACGATTCTTAAAACTGCAGTGGAACAACACAGGAATCACTAGGTGTGGGCACCTGCATGGGGAATTTCTCAGCTTTTGGGTGGAGAGGAGGCTTGGAACAAGTTCAGACCCTCCGGTCACTGCCCAAGGCTAGACCTGAACTATACACGCAATCTTGTTCAGTTTCCAAACGCTCTGGAGAAATGGGCTCATTTCCAGTTTCAGGCAGGAACCTGAATGCTGAAAAACCATACGAAAAATCAGAAGAGTCTCAGCATGGCTTTGCAAGATTTAGGAAGCCTGGGCAACACTTTACAAACTGACCCTTGCAGCCGTGCTAAGGAGATGAGCTCTGGTGAGGAAACTAACTGAGGCAAAGAAATGGAGTGACCAACCCAGAATCATTCAGTGAAGAACCAGGAAGAGGACCTGAGAGTCCAGATTCAGTAACCTCTGCTGTAACCTAGCCTGTAAACTTCGTGGCTCCTAGCCAGATTCCAAAGCCTTGAATTTGCCACTCAGTAAGCCAGTTTGCACATTTCCAGTGCCTGGTATGAAATCTGCACTGCCTGTGCCTCCCTCAACACTTGTATTTTTAGGCTATAACTCATGGGCTTTTTGTTCTATTCTAGTGCAGAAATGGCTGCAGAAAGGAGTTAAGACAACTCTAAATAAGGAAGCAGCATCAGGGCAAAGGCACCCACAGCAACTCAGTGTTGGCTTGTTCTGAAACTTCCTGCTCATCAGGCTTTGGCAAAAGGCTGCCTGTGTTTGCTGCTGCTGACTGATTCATGTGAACTAGCTCTTTCCTTTTTAACCTCCTCTGGCTTTGTCTCCACTTAGCAGAGGTTCCACTCTCTGGCAATCGATCTTCCAGGGTTTGATTTAGCAGGTCTTTATTAAATCAAATGCTGAGGGTACCCCCATGGAATGTGTGTCAGGAGAGTATTGGCTTCATGATCTTTTCTGTTTAGCACCCAGGATTTCATGATTCCCCATGCCTTGCAGGAAGGTCTGTCTCTCATTGAGCCTTCAAATCCATTGTGGGCAGATGACCTACATGCTCCATTAATGAATACAGTGCTGAAAATCCATGGATTTCCACTTTATAGCCACGGATAACCACATCTGCAGATTGTTCCATAAACTCTAAAACAGAAGTATCAGAGGGGTAGCCGTGTTAGTGCCACAGGACTTCTCATTGTTTATGCAGATTCAGACTAACAGATTTATTGGAGCATAAGCTTTCATGGGCAAAGCCCCACTTCATCAGACCCCATGTATCTGATGAAGTGGGTCTTTGCCCACGAAAGCTTATGCGCCAATAAATCTGTTAAGTCTATAAGGTGCCACCGGACTTTTTGTTGTTTATCTAAAACAGAAGGCGCTCTAGGGTTTGCCACAAGTGAGAGATGGTGATGTCCTAGCTCTGAGGGTAAGAGTCACACTTTTGTGGACTGGGTTTGAGATACGCCCTGGTTATGTCTTCACTGGCACCCTTTTCCGGAAATGCTTAAAACGGAACAGTTTTCCGTTATAAGTATTTCCGGAAAAAGCACGTCTACATTGGCAGGATGCTTTTCCAGAAAAGCACTTTTTCCGGAAAAGCGTCCATGGCCAATGTAGACGCGCTTTTCCGCAAAAACGCCCCGATTGTCATTTTCACGATCGGGGCTTTTTTGCGGAAAAGACTACTGTGCTGTCTACACTGGCCCTTTTCCGGAACAGTTTTTCCGGGAAAGGACTTTTGCCCGAATGGGAGCAGCATAGTTTTTCCAGAAAAACACTGACAATTTTACAGTAGATCGTCAGTGCTTTTCCGGAAATTCAAGGGGCCAGTGTAGACAGCTGGCAAGTTATTCCAGAAAAGCGGCTGCTTTTCCGGAATAAGTGGCCCAGTCTAGACACAGCCCCTGGGTCCCAGGAGCACGATTTCCTAGCGCTCCAACACTGCTGTATTTTTAAACCTTTCCCACGGCCCAATTCAGTATCCAGCTTACTCCCGTGGGTTAGCAACCCCCACCCTGACCTCAGCCCCAGCTAAGGGGGTCTGACCTCCGACCTCAGCCCATGCTCACTAGGACTTCACTCCCCCTTCTCATGCCCATGTAGGGACCTTTGACCCCACCCGTAGCACCGCCTCCTCCGTCCTAGGCGCTGCGCGCGATGCGGGGGAGCGCGGCTTCCGCGCGGGGCCTGCCGGGAGTTGTAGTCTCCCCCCACCCTGACCTCAGCCCCAGCTAAGGGGGTCTGACCTCCGACCTCAGCCCATGCTCACTAGGACTTCACTCCCCCTTCTCATGCCCATGTAGGGACCTTTGACCCCACCCGTAGCACCGCCTCCTCCGTCCTAGGCGCTGCGCGCGATGCGGGGGAGCGCGGCTTCCGCGCGGGGCCTGCCGGGAGTTGTAGTCTCC